GACCCTAATATACGGCTACTTTCGGTATTTTTAAGATTTTAACAGAATTTTTAAAGGATGTTATTTTTTTGAAAATTGCCAAATTTGTGCCAATTGTTGGAGGTTATTCAAAGTTCGGTCCGGCTGAACTTACAGCTTTTTTACTTGTCGATGTTTAAAAGGTTGAATTTTAATCACAAACCAAATAAGTTGTAATTTAATATTATATTATATAATACAAACAATGTATCAATCAGTTTTACCGACGGATGTATATCAAAAAAATATCAGTTCATTAAAATAAATTTTGACTTGCGTTATTATTATTTATTGGGTTGGTACCGAAGAAGATGGGCCAATGCTTTCCATTTCATATCTGACCGAAGTCAGATATAAATATTATTAAGTGCCAGATTTGCACTACATCGACTGCTCTTGATATGTGCGTGGGGTTTCAGATATAGTGGACCGATGTATTCCACATAGTCTAATATTAATATGTAATTTGAAGAAAATCGAACATTTATTTCCAATTTTATGTGAATAGTTGTTAATCTAAAATTTAACCTCTTGTGGCGAAGAAACCTGAAGGAGTGCCCGATATTCACATAATATCTCTGGTTGAGAGAAATATTTAGATACATCAAGAATCTCTGACTCGTTTCGCAAGTTATGAGAAATACACTTATTAACAATTGCGATTCTTGTGTGGAAGGTACCAAAAAGGGGTGGGCGATTTATTTCGTTCATTAGTTTGGGTTCGGTCATAATCCCAAAAGATTGCGGATATAACCCCTTAAATAATAGGTATGCCAAAAACGATTTTATACTTTTTATAAGTAGCTGGTTTTTGGCCGGGACTTGAGATTTTCTCCAGTGAGTATGTCACGCACCGGCTACCGCGAATCGAAAATTTCTAAAATTGTATTTTTGTAAGTAGTCCACACAGCAAACGGTCATACTCCCCATGGTGATTGTGCCCCCATTATTATGGGGTTTACGACCAAAAACAAACCGAACACAATCCCCATAACTGCAATGGGATTATGTCCGTGGGGGTTATGGAACGGATTTGGTTCAAAGAGACTCTAAAACCGTTATTTCAATGAGGCTTATGGCTGAAGGTTTAATTACAATTTTCCTAATTTTACAGTCGCCCTACAGTTCACAATTAAAAACCAATCGACATGGAATTTTGCATGGGGAGAGAGTTAAGGACAGGGCAGAAGTCTAGCATTTTAGATTAGCATTGGATTAAGTTAGCGGGTAAAATGGACTACAACTTTTGTGCGAAATTGTTTTAAAACCCCATCAGCACGACAGAGAGCGTAAGTATGAGCAAGGGCATCCGTTAAAAATCAAAGGTAACATTTTTGCAGGTCTGTATGGCATTATGTCAAAAATAAATCCTACCAAAAGGGATTTGGACCTAAATGGCATATTATAGTGTTGTAAGGTATCATATGGTCGGCCCCGCACGGGTATTGCCTTTGCCTATTTGTTATACCCTACAACAACATGTGTTGGGGGTATTATAAGTTTGATTGGGCCGAAAATTATGCAAATATTGGTTTCCCACATAGGAAAGCATATATGGATCTTCCTATCTCGCCATTAAATTTGTAACCACTCTACAAGTCGCAATTATGGTCCGATCTTTACGAAATTTAGAATGGAGGCGGGGCTACGGCCAAAATAGAAGCTTATTGCTTTTGGAGGAAATCGCATAATATTTAAGAGTTAAAATGGACCAAAAACTGAAACAATTCCTGATTTTGCAGTTGCTCTACAGTTATAGACGCAATTATAGATCAATCGAAGCGGAAGTTGGCATGGGGCTAGAGATTAAGGCTGGGCAGAAGCCTTCCAATTTTGATGGTCATCGGGTAATATTTAGTAGGTGAAATAGAACATAACATTTGTGTTAAATAAAAGTCAAATTTTCCGTGAATATTTGTAATCCCGGTGAAATCACAAATAGACGAAAATGTCAATTCTGACCGTAACGTTGATGCCAATTGTAAATATATTGGATATATAGCGAAATATATACAATGTGTGTATACCAATGGAGGGGATGTTAGCTGGAATACTTACATCTCAAGAATGGCTGGACCGATTTTAACAAATTTTGCCAATTCAGAACGCGCTCTTGGTATAAAAGAATAAAATCTAAGAAAATCGCATAAAAAGATGCCAATAATGATGTTAATATAGATTTTTTTATTATACCCTACAACACTATGTGTTGGGGGTATTATAAGTTTGATTGGGCCAGAATTTATGTAACACCTCGAAATATTGGTTTCCCATATAGGAAAGTATATATGGATCTTCCTAGCTCGCCGAGCTGAGTCGATCTAGCTATGTATGTCCGTCCGTCCGTCTGTCCGTCTGTCCATGTTAATTTGTAATCACTCTACAGGTCGCAATTATGGCCCGATCCTTACGAAATTTTGCACGAAGGTGGGATTAGGGTCAAAATAGAACCCTATTGCTTTTGGAGATGATCGCCAAATGTTTAGGGGTTGAAATGGACCAAATACTGAAAAAATGTCGGATTTTGCAGTAGCTATACAGGTCGCAATTATAGACCAATCGACGCGAAATTTCGCATGTAGATAGAGTTTAGGGCGGGGAAGAAGCCTACTAATTTGGGTGGTCACCGGATAATATTTAGCGGGTAAAATAGACCGTATCTTTTGTGTTGAAATAAATCAAAATTTTTCATTAAACCGTGAGTATTTTAAATCCCGGCGAAATCACAAAGCCATCACAAGGTTACTTGTGACCTTTACATTGATGTTATTATCCAACAAATCGGCTATATTGCAAAATATGTGCGGTATATATGTCTATCAAAGAAGATATGCTTGAAAGATCTCTTATATGTCGAGAACGGCTGAACTGACTTCGACAATTCTCATTAAATCAGAACGGCCTCTTGGCAGGAAAGAAACAACGTCTAAAAATCGCATAAAAATATCTCTCTAAAGATGAAAATATTGATTTTGTAACATTTTTTCATATTTTTTCAATTTTGTCACATTTTTGGCATATTTTCATTTTGAATTAAACATTTGGTAATATTTCTACAGCTAACAAAACTAAGTAGTTAGGTTATGAGGATATCATATACAGATCACATTTATTACCCGATCCTTACGAAATTTTGCATGGGGGTAAGATGAGGGTCAGAATAGAAGCCTACTCTTTTTGGAGATGATCGCCATATATTTAGGGGTTGAAATGGACCAAAAAACTGCAAAATTGTCAGCAGGTCGTAATTATCACCCGATCCTCACGCACATTTGAATGGGGGTTACTGCACATTGCAAAAGCCAATATTCAATGTGTGAAATAGTTTGCCAACTTTTGTAGACTAAATACAAAAATGTCCATTCCAGTGACTTTTTGGAGAATTCACAAATACAGGAAAGACGCACTTCTGACTATTTCGTTAACGCTGATTTCGTTGAAGGATATAGTCAAATGTCTGTATCTCATATAGATGCGTTTCAGTCAAAAACCAATAATAAATGTTAATCTTTTGCCACTTCTGAGAGATTATAGGTCTTTGGGAAATATTGGTTCCAGATCTAGGAAGACCATTTACGTGCAACATCTATCAATAAATTGGAAATGAACAAACTAGTTTAAGTTGCTATTATTCGAAAATTAGAGAACGAAACCTGATGGTTTACTTTTATAATTTGTAACAATATCTTGTGGAATTCTTTCGAGTATTCTTTCTTTCTATAAACAGTATCGTTTATTACAGTGTTGTAGGGTATTCAACGGTCGGCCCCGCTCGACTGTAGCCTATGCTTACTTGTTTTTTCATATTTTTTATCGCATGCGATTTTTTCAATTTGACTTATAATTGAAGTGTACATTTGGAAATATTTTTTTCACATTACAGCACAGGTTGGGGTATGCAGATTTCAATTATCGTCCGATCCTCACGAAATAAAGGTGGAATGGATCACTACTTTTGTGTGAAAAAATACTAACATTTCCAGTCTACCGAAACGCTAAAAATAACTTACAGGCGACATCCAAAATACACAAAAGGGGAACCTCTGACTTTTTTTAACTTTTTCGTTAACAAATATATCCAAATATCGTAGACAAGCAAATCATGTAGATGAGTCTAAATTTGGAGATACAGAAGGGCCTCTTGCATTAGGTGGTTCACAAAATATTTTGGGATTCAAATCAACCAAAAACAGAAACATTTTCCTGATCACTCAATTGAAACCAATCGACACGGAATTTTGCCTGAGAAGAGTGTTAAGGACAGCGAAGAAGTCTAGCGTTTTGGATTATACTTGACTGTAATATAAACCACAACAAATAACAAAACGACTGAGTGTGTAAATATTGGGTGAATGCCCCTGGTCAAAATTCTAAGGGTAATATCTGGACAATGCTCTATGACATAATTTCCAAAGCGAAATCTTCCAAAATGGATTTGGACATAAGGGGGCTTCTAACATATTGTAGTGTTGTAGGGTATCACATGGTCGGTCCCGAACGGCTATAGCTTTTGCTTATTTGTTTCAAATTTGGCATTTGAAGTTCCTAATGGGTACTACAGCCTATGACAGAGAATTGCCTATGCAGGTCCAGGTCCTAGGATAGCCCCTAAATATTCGGTATTTTTTTTATTTCAGCAACATTATTTGCCGGAATTGTTTTAAATTTCGTATTTGAAGTTCATAATGGATACTACAGCCTATTACAGAGAATTGTATTTGCAGATTTAGTTCTTTGTAAAGCCCCCATATATCGGTATCTCTCTATATTCTGTATTTTGCTAATTTCAGCGACATTATTCGCCGGAAATATTTCATGATGATCGTATTTGAAGTTTTTAATTGGTACTACCATATGTAACAGAAAATTGTTTGTGCAGGCCCACGTCATAATCGGTAACTCCCTACATTCCATATTATTATGATTTAGCAGTATGTTTTAGCAGTTGTTTTAAAAGAAAATAATAGTATAAAGATTGAATGCAATAAAAGTTAATAATTTATTTTTTGTTTCATTATATCAGTCTAGTTGAAAATATAGCGATTTCCTAATGATGAGCGGGAATGGTGTAGGTAGTGTATGCTGGCACAGCTGATTTCACCACAGCAGGGGCAGAGTATGTGGTATAGGCTGGGACAGCTGCCTTAACAACAGCAGCCGGAGCAGCATATTGGGCAACAGGAGCAACAGTCTTAACCACAGCAGCGGGGGCAGTATATTGAGCTACAGGAGCAACAGTCTTTACTACGGCAGCGGGAGCAGCAACGACAGCCTTGGCAACCAAAGGTTCACGACTCACAACAGCGTTGAAACCATGGACTGGATCAGCAGTGTATTGAACGGTGCGTTTGTAACCATCAGCATCAATCAGGGAATATTCACCACGAACAACATCGCCATCGCGCTCCTCAACCTGTGTTTTAGTATCACCAGACACGGCATCTTGGACACCATAGCCGAATTTGTATTGAGGATGAGGATCATATTCTTCAACGGTCTTGGTTAATACATGTTGAGCAACTGGAGCGACACCTTTGACCACAGCGGCGGCAGCGGCAACAGGAGCAGCATGATATGCCAGTGGAGCAGCAGGTACATAGCCAGCATTGACAGCGGCCAACAAAGCAAAGATAACAACGGACTGAAAACAACAAATGAACTGTATAAATGAGGCTGACAACTACAAATTATCCATGAGATTTATTAATCCTTTTTAAGCTGCGATTTAACCACCATAAATCCCCGACGATGTGTAATGTTTACCCACCTTCAATGCCATTTCGTGAAATTCGATATGGTCAACGATGATCGGTATTGTGTCAAATGTTTCGTATGTAACTGAACCGACCGAAGAAGTCCAATTAACTGTGATAACAAGCGATTTCTGTCGACAGCTTTTATACGAAAACATGAAATTAATTCACGTTGACGACAGTTTTCATTCTCTGGGCACATCTTCACCACAGTGTCGAAGTGTAAGACATTTACTCCAATTATTTTGACAGAATTGTTGTTGCATTTATTGTGATTGGTTTTATGTTAATGTTATGCGATGACTTAATTTTACGCTTGAAGTGCGTGTTAGCCATGCACTTGACGGCTAAAGTGCACTTAACGTGTTCAATTATCGAACACACAAAACAGTTAAAACGTGCACAGGCACAGGTAATAAGGTAATGCATGTAGGGTATTATTGCAGCTTGTCATTCGCGTACATATGGTAGTTAAAAAAAAATAGGTTTGTGATTCCGCTGATCACTTCGCCATAAGATAATGTTGTATGCCACAATAAACATGCACATATATATAATAACTAAGCATATTACCAATAAATTTATATTTGTTACGAAAAATATTTATATTAGTTGCTAAATAATAGAGATAAGTTAAGTATTAATTTTGAATTGAAAGAAAGAAAGAATCCGATTTCGTAAAAGTTTTCTGAAAATTTAGAAATTTTCAAGAACAAAATTCCGTTGAAAAATACTGCTAAATCATAATAATATGGAATGTAGGGAGTTACCGATTATGACGTGGGCCTGCACAAACAATTTTCTGTTACATATGGTAGTACCAATTAAAAACTTCAAATACGATCATCATTGTCGCTAAAATCATCAAAATACAGAATAAAGGGGGTGTCATTATATGGGGACTATACGAAGACCTGGACCTGCATATGCAATTTTCTGTCACATACTGTAGAACCCATTAGAAACTCCAATTCAAATGATACATTTCCGGTGAATAATGATTTACATTTTGATTTACAATTTTCGAATGTATATTTGTAGTTTTTTTAATTCTAATATTATGTGTAGTCATTTCGGGGAGTATAAAGCGACAACGGACAAAACTGTTATTTATAGATATAAGCTATGAACAAAAATATTTTAATTACTTTTTTAAAATCACTAAATATCACGAAAAAGGCCATCTCATTGCAAAAATTCTAAAATCGGGAATGAAAAATGAAAAATTGTTTAATGGAATCGAATTTCAAGATAATAGTACATTCTATTGACAAACTTCGTAAAGACCTTTAAACATTTGCTGTAAAATATCAGCGAACCAGTTGAAGATTTTTTTATTTTTTTCAAAATTCTTTTCTTTTTTTGGCAATTTTATATAATGTACGATTTTTATACCCTACACCACAAGATGGCCAGGGTATTATGTCTTTGTGCATTTGTTTGTAACAGGCAAAAGGAAACGAGATAGACCCATAGTTCCTTTTGATGATCTGCATAGAATCACATTCTGAGTCGATTTATGCATGTCCGTCCGTCCGTCTGTCCATGTATTTTTGTAAACAAAGTCCACTTCGCATTTATTGCCCTATCCAGATGAAATTTTGCACAAATCATTTGTTTGGCCCAAGGACGAACCCTATTGAAATTGGAGATAATCGGTAAAAATTTAGATATAGCTCCCATATATATCTTCGTCCGATTTGCCTTTTATGAAAATAAGTATTGCCTGAAAATAAGTATGCCAAATTTGATCGAAATCGGTTCAGATATAGCTATAGCTCCCATATATATTGTTCATCCGATTTGTTATTTTTGTCCTCCGCAGTCGTAATATGCACTCTGTAACAACAATATTTGGGGAAATATATTAAATATAGCTCAGAAATACATTTGCTAAATTTTATCGAGATCGGTTCAGATTTGGATATAGCTCCCATATATAATTTCGTCCGATTTATATTTTATTGTGGACCAAAAGTCTAATATTTGCCCAAATTGGATGAAATTTGGCACTTACGACCACTTTGAGTTTAGAAGCTAGTATGTCAAATTTGGTGAAGATCGGTTCAGATATAGCTATAGCTCTCATATATACTGTTTATCCGATGTGTCATATTTGTTACCCACATCCGTAATATGCACTCCGTAACAACGATATTCAGGGAAATATATCAAATACAGCTCAGAAATATATTTGCCAAATTTTATCGAGATCGGTTCTGATTTGGATATAGCTCCCATATATTTTTTTATTATATAATCATAGGGTGTATGATTGAATTCTCCCATAAAAACTTTTAATTGTTATGCGCAGCTCTACTAAATTAGGGTATCATAAAGTCGGCCCCGCCCGACATTAAGACTTTCTTTACAGGTTTTCAATTTAGCTTAAGATATAGAATTTTATAGTTTTTTTTTTTTTTTTTGTGAAAAAAATAAAGAATTATTTTCACCATAATTAAGGGGGCGCATTTCAAAACGTGGACTTACTTCTTTCACATGACAATAATCCGTCCAAAGAGAACTCAAAATGCTAAATTCATTGGACTGTCAGTGAAATACCGAATATAAAGCGAATTGGACATTTAGTAAGAAAATAATTTCTTTTTAAACTTTCAAGATACCTTAGATCGCTTTTACAGGTCATGATTTGGGTCATAGCCCCCAGATAAGAGAACAACCCGATTTCAAGTATAGTTTACATTTTAACCATATTTTTCATACTTATTTCGGCAAATGTTGGTAATTTGAGAAGAAACCATCATCATCAAAAAAATTAATTTCCATCTTTCGGTAATGAGTGCAAAAGAGGAATTATCGTTGACGATTCTGAAATCATTCTGCCCTCAATTATGAGGTGGACAAACATAAATACAAATAAATAAATTACTATGCAGTCATTACTTTTTATTAGATGAGTCAGACCTGTGATCTATTATGCTTTAAAAAATAATCATTAAAGACTAAAAGTGCAGGCCGGCAACGCGGACAGAGCCAGCTAGTATATATATATATTTTTTTTTTGTGAAAATTACCAAAATCGTTGCAAATGGTGGATGGTATTCGAAGTATTATTCACATTATTCACAACGTTGATCTTTTGTGGGGGAGGTCCAAAAATTGTTGATTTAAGTTCTATTGAAATATTACGATGAGCCAAGTTTGAACTGCATGTATACTCTTTTTATTTCCATGGGATTATAGGTTTTCTTGTTCCAAAATATTGAACTTTTGTGGGGAGGGTAAAAGAAAGAGACTATAGTAAGTTGGAGGTACAGTATGAAGTCTACCAATCTAGTCTACTTTTACATCTTATCCAATCTTATCAGGTATTCCTTTCACTTGATATGAAAGGGTAACAGCAATATTGTGCATTTCCGAACTTGATCTAAGATTAGTAAAATATTACGTTGTTTTAACCGAATCGGTTACTACAGACAGAGCAATAATTAATGTATGTATATGTGTTGGATTTGTCTTTCTTATGACGTTGCTCACTATGTTAACCATAATAACAAAATAAATATACGAATTTTTTCCATATTGTAAAGTTTTTGTTGAAATATTAATAAATTTATTAAGATTTGGGAGCTTCATTTCCAAATAAGGTTTGGTATGATGTCTCTTTTCCATTTGAAACTTCTGACTATTAATCAAACCAGTCAGAACATATATTTAATAGAATACATAATTTCAACACATATTCCTTTTTACTTTCATTTTTGACCATTAAAAATTTGGATATTTTTGCCCGGTTTCACAGTTTACGCTTCCACAAGCTTCAAATCATTAAAAATTGAAAACTAACAAATTGACGTTGATTTTATTTTGTTAAATAAAATCAAGCAAACGCATTATGGCCGGTAAGCAAATGTCAAGAATAACAAAATACATGACGAAATACATTTAACAATTCCGAACATTATCAATCGACATCCAATCAACCACCCAATCAATCGATCGATCCAACCACCACCCACAAGACAACAACTAAAATGCGATCGTTGCTGGTTGAAAGCCGATGTTATGATTCAAAATAATGAAAGTAACAGTGGGTGAATCGTTTTGAAAATGAAAACGGCAAAAACCATTTAAATCATATCGATGGCAACTACATATTTATGCATTAACACAACGCCACCTGTCGACGAACACAAACAAAATATTTTTGGTTTGTTGTTTCCTATTACAGTCGCAGCAATTTATTTAAGTGCACTTGGATTAATGCAACTCATGATTCATTGACGAATTTGACTAGAGCATTTAATATGGTCATGGATGGAAATCGTATAAAGTGATTTCGAAGATATTCACACAATTGTTTAGCGCTTGACATAATTAGATATCATTTAAAGTTAATTCAAATTCGCCCAAACTCAATACAAATACTATACAATTTATTCGCTAACATCAATGTCAAAGTTTTAAAACGTCTATTTATTCGTTAATTTGGGAAAACCGATTTCAAAATGTATACCCTGCATCATAGTATGGAGGATATATTAAGTTTGTCATTCCATTTGTGCCTCAAAATTTACATTTTAGGCACACTAAGTATATATATTCTTGATCAGCATAAAATTCTATGTCGGTTTAGCGATGTCCGTCCGTCAGTGGAAATCACTATAGCTTTCGAACGTAATGAAGCGGGTTGATAAAATGTTACTCAAATATATATTATATCTGCAGGACTTTTGGTATTGAAAATGAGCCATGTAGGTCCACGTTTTGGTATAGCCCCCATGTAATGGTACCTCCCTATTTTCGGTATTTTGGTGATTTAAGCGACATTATTCACTGGAAATGTTTCAAATTTGGTATTTGAAGTTTGTAGTGGATACTACAGCCTAAGACAGACAAGTAAAAAAGCTGTAAGTTCGGCCGGGCTGAACTTTGAATACCCTCCACCATTTGGAACGAAATTGGCTAATTTTCAAAAAAAAAAAAAAAATAAATAAATAATTTAAAAAAAAATCTGTTAAAATCTTAAAACTTATATTAGGGTCTATACGACGACGTGGACCTGCATAGGCAACATTTGTCATAAGCCATTACAATATTCAAATGCGAAAATTGAAACAAAAAATCGGTGAATTATCAAATTACCGAATATTGGGAGGTACCGTTATAGGGGGGCTATTCGAAGACGTGGACCTGCACAGACAATCTCCATTCATAGGCTGTAGCATCCATTACGAACATCAAATACCAAATTTGAAACAATTCCGGTGAATAATGTTGCTGTAATCAACAAAGTTCTGAATATCGGGAGGTACCGTTATATAGAGGCTGTACGAAGACGTGGACCTGTATTCACAATATTTTGTCATAGGCAGTAGTACCCATTACGAATTCTAAATACGAAATTTGAAACAACTCCGGTGAATAATGTTCTAAAAACGTCAAAATACCGAATATGGGGGGTACCATTGTATATGTACGATATCGTGGACCTATAAAGACATTTCTCTTCCGGGGGTAAAGTGTTTAGAAAGAGCTTATAGTATAAATTTTTAGACAATTTCATTAAAAAATTTAACAAAAAATATCAAAATACCGAATATAGGGAGGTACCGTTTTATGGGGGATAAACGATATCGTGGACCTATATAGACACTTCTCTTCCGGGGGATAAAGTTCTCTAGTATGGATTTTCAGGCAATTTCATTGAAAAATTTGATATCGTGGACCGATATGGGCCATCTTCGAAATTCCTATCTTCATTCATTTTGACCCCAGCGTGATTACAACAGACGGCCGGACAGAAGGGCGACAGACAGGGATAAATCGTGTTAAAGTTTTACGCTGATCAAGAATATATAGGGGTGGGTTTAGGATTATTATTTCGATGAGTTACAAACGGAATGACGAACTTAACATACCCTCCATACTATGTGTGGTAGAGGGTATAAAATAGCCAAAAAAATGGAGGAAGTTTAACCAAATGGTAAAATGAAATATATATGTTTTTTTTGTTCTTTTCCTCGATTTTATAGCGAATTAATATTGAAGAAAACATTATATGAACAAAATTTTCAAAATTATTTAAACCTTGAATAGATTCTATCAAGGTTTTAATAGTTTTGAAACTAATGTTTTCTGAAAAAAATGCAAATAATTTGAAAACCAGCTGAGATATATATATGGCATATATTTTTTAATGAAATTTAAACTAATTTTTATTTCGAACTGGCTCCATGCCAGAACATTTACAACACAACATTTACAAAATTTGGCTCTTAAAGTTTAATTAAGGGAATTCAATGAATTCGGTTGAAAATCAGTAAAAATGTCTTAGAAAATTTTGTGGAGGATTGCGTTTCTGAAAAAATACCGACTAGCTTTAAAGGAACATTCAATTTTTAATTTTAACTTCTCAAAAAGTTTGAAATTTTCATGACAAAATATGTCCGAATGCCAGAAATTACTTCGAAAGTTGCAAGGTAAATCTAGATTTTAAGGAAATACTTTAACGAAAATAAACGAAATTCATGAATTCCTTTATGAATTTCAAAACTATTATCGACTTTTCAACTAAAGAATTAGAATAAATTCTTGTGTTGCTAAATATTCAAAATTTTTTAAAAAAAAAAAGTCCTTAATTTTTTTTATAAAAAAAATATAGCCAACTGGTATTTGTAAACGGACCGGTATTCCGTCCATTGAGTTTTCTGCGCCAACCAATAACCAAAATAGAGAGACAACTTCCACTTCCTCCACTTTTTTTATATACCCCACCATAGTATAAGGGATATATATTAAGTGTGTCATTCCGTTGTAAAGTGTAGATACTCCTGAGCAGCATAAGACTTTATGTCTGAAAATATTGACCCTTTATTAGGATGGTACCGAAGATGTCTGTTATAAATGTCATTGACAAATTGCTGGACAACGAATGTTTTCTTATCGGAGAATACCACTTTCGGCCAAGCGAAGCAACTCTTTAGCTCTTTTGAGACCATTTTCTTTCTATTACGGTGTAAGTTATTGCACTTTTTGGATTTTTAGTGGTTTTACCTCGAGCTCATTTTTCAATATTTGCCAATGGAATATTACGATATGTTCACTTACGAGTCATTTTTCGGTCACTGCGACGCGAGTTTTGATCAAATCGCTTCTTTACTTTTCGAACCATTTCCGCTGGTGTTGCCTTTTTTTCGTCCACTTCCTTGTCAGGCTACGCTACAGTGTTACGGAAACGAGCGATGATACGAGACACAAACGATTTATTCACATTTAAATGCTGGAGTGCTCTAACGATAGCCACTTGTGGTTTTACAGCCAAACATAAAGAAATCACAATATCACGCTTGAATTCCATCACGAATAATTTTTTTTCTGGAATATTCTCACCAAAATGCTTTTGTACGCTTGAAAACAATATAATGAGCTGTAACTTTAATAATTTTAAGAGCTGTCGGACGAGTGGCTTAGAAATGACAGCAGTCTGAAGTTGGTTGCAGTTTTTTTTATCTCACCCTGATGATGTTTAGCCCAACTTTTTAGGGACCTTTCGGGTTCTCAGGCTTACCTTTTGGGCACGTTTTTATAGTCGTAATCATTCGTCGCCAAAAACTAAAATTGTAGTTTTATTTTTCATTATAGCCCCATATAATGACACTGCTGATTTCAGCATTTTGAAGGCGCATTTGCAGTTTTTATTGCAATTTGCTCAGAAATTGTATCTAATTGCTGTTACTTACGAAGGTTGCTTACTCTTGTTGAATGGTATTAAACTTCTATAGTACGTTTCTATTGAATAAATAAATTCCTTGAATACAGCTTTTTATACCCTACACCACAAGGTGGTCAGGATATTATGTCTTTCTGCATTTGTTTGTAACAGGCAAAAGGAAACGAGATAGACCCATAGTTCCTTTTGATGATCTGCATAGAATCACTTTCTGAGTTGATTTATGCTTGTCAGTCCGTCTGTCCGTCCGTCCGTCTCTCCATGTATTCTTGTGAACAAAATGCAGGTCGCATTTATTATCCGATTGAGGTGAAATTTTCCAAACAACATTTGTTTGGTCCAAGGACGAACCCTATTGAAATTGGAGATAATCGGTAAAAATTTTGATATAGCTCCCATATATATCTTCGTCCGATTTGCCTTTTATTGTGCACCAAACGTGTAATATCAGCCCGAATAGTATGGAATTTTGCACATGCAACCAATTTAGGCCTAAAAATAAGCATGCCAAATTTGATGGAAATCGGTTTAGATATAGCTATAGCTCCCATATATATTGTTCATCCGATTTGTTATTTTTGTCCTCCGCAGCCGTAATATGCACTCTGTAACAACAATATTTGAAGAAATATATCAAATGCAGCTCAGAAATACCTTTGCCAAATTTCATCGAGATCGGTTCAGATTTGAATATAGCTCCCATATATAACTTCGTCCGATTTACATTTCATTGTGCACCAAACGTCTAATATTTGCCCAAATGGGATGGAATTTGGCACATACGACCGAATTGAGTCTAGAAGCTAGTATGTCAAATTTAGTGAAGATCGGTTCAGATATAGCTATAGCTCCCATATATACTGTTCATCCGATTTGTTGTATTTGTTACCCACAGCCGTAATATGCACTCCGTAACAACGATATTCAGGGAAATATATCAAATACAGCTCAGAAATATCTTTGCCAAATTTTATCGAGATCGGTTCAGATTTGGATTTAGCTACCATATATATCATTATCTGATTAAGAATTAATTTTGCACCAAATGGGCAATACAAGTCCGAAGTTAAAAGATACAAATGCTTCGGCGTATTTAGTCCTTTAAATTTTAAATTATAATTATAATCATAGGGTGTATGATTGAATTCTCCCATAAAAACTTTTACTTTTTATGTGGAGCTCAACTAAATTAGCAAAGTGGTGTAGGGTATCATAAAATCGGCCCCGCCCGACTTTAGGACTTTCTTTACTGGTTTAACAAAAAAAAAATCATTTTTTGAAATTTTCTTTTTACCTAAGTTTTCACAAACTGAACGCTGGTCATAACGACCATAGTTTTTACAATTTTTAAGCTTTTGCAATTTTAGTTTTAGTAATTGTCCCTTTTGTAAACGGTTACAACAAATCATGTAAGACATTTATTAGGTCATAATTAAACGACACGCATAAATAAAACTTGAAGTTTGTTTGTAAACATATAAAATGTGATCATAATTTTTTCTCAGTTTTTATTGCTTTTTATTACACATTTTCAACAACATTTTCAACACAATAAAATTATTTTAATTTACTGCCATGCTGCAGTTAAAAGTATTCTACCATTTATCTAATGCTATAATGCGTTTCCGAGAAACCGCTACATATATGCCCTTAATCTTTCATTCTAAAAAAATTGTTAATTAAATTAGAGTAAAGCAAATATCCGCTTACCGTTTAATGAAAGATCAAAAGATAAATTGCGCCACAGATTTGAATTCACATTTCTATGTTTGCATACATATGTATAAAAGATAACTAATGAACGAACAATAATATCATTCATAATTTGCTAATACAAGTGTAAAGAGCTTTTAATCTTCAGAAATAATCTCAGAATGGCATTTAAGGTAAGTTGATTTGATTTGAAATATGATATTATTTATGTACCTAATTTTCAATTTTTTCAGTTCATTGTTGCTTTGGCATTTGCTGCTGTCGCCAGTGCAGGTTTCATTGCATCTCCCCAGTCCTATCATGAGGAACCAGCTTATGATTATCATACTGAAGATCCTGTAAAACATGTCATTCCCGTAGCGCATAAAGTCCTTACCAAACATATCGAACACTATGATCCACATCCACAATACAAATTCTCCTACAGTGTTGATGATAAGGTTACCGGTGATTCCAAAAGCCAATTTGAGGAACGTAACGGTGATGCAGTCCATGGTGAATACTCGTTGATCGATGCCGATGGTTATAAACGTACCGTAACCTATACTGCCGATGCCCACAACGGTTTCAATGCTGTTGTTCATCGGGAACCTTTAAAGAAGATTATCCATTCAACTCCAGTTGCTGTGAATGCACATTATACTGCCGCTGTCCATCAAACTGCTCCGGCTCATTATTCAGCTCCAGATTATTATTCTGCCCCAACCCATTATGCTTTTCAAGCACCGCAATATCGTCCTGACTCTGCTCCTTCTTCTTATTATCATCATTAAGAAAGGACGTAAGTCATTGGTTTTTGAAACGTATTTAAATTGTTAGACGAGAAACGCATTATTTCAGTATTACTATGTAGTTTTGTGATATGTATATTTGTAGATAGTAGCGTGTAAATATTTAACATTATAATATACTAGCTGGCCCAGTCCGCGTTGCCGGCCCGTAGTTTTAGTCTTAAATGCACAGTTTTTAAAGCATAATAATTCACAAATCTGGCTCACATAAGTGGCACAACTTTTAGTATAAATGATGACTCGATTAAATAGAAATAAATACGTCTTTCAAAAAACCTGATACTATTTTTCAGTAAGAGGTTTTAGTTTGAGAGTTTAAAACCTAAATAATATAGCATATATTTAAAAAGTATACATTAACTGTTTATAATAGTCCTATTTAAGATGATTCTTTACCCCCAAAGTAGCCTAAACACACATTTTAAGTCAGATCGATAATCAAACCCCTCGAAATAGGTAAAATCAGGAGGTACTTTTATATGAGCGCTGCTCCAAAACATTGACATTGAAAAAATTCCGCGAGAGGTCTTCTGCCAGAAGCTAGATGCCAAAGAAGGGCAAAATCAAAAAATCAATGCAAAATGTGACCAAGACCCTACTAATAGCTAAAATCAGCGGATACCTTCACATAAGAGTTATAATGAAGCATGGTCCTATACTTATAATTATTTGAAAGAATTTGTTTTTCCTTCTAAAATCTCAAATTACCAACATTTGAGGAATTTGAAAGGGGCTATGTCATTTGAGGGCGGGGCTATATCACAATGTAGACTAAACTTATACATATTTTGTACAAATGATTCCTCATGTAATCCCTAGAACTGTATCAAATTTAAAACTTTATCGTAACTTTTGCGGAGTGTAGGTCAAAATATTTGCGGTCCTTTGTGTATGGTTAAGCTATATAAAATGGACTCTAAAAAAGTTAGATCCGGGAACCTCTCTTTTGGGATTTTTATTTACCAAACAAACAATTTCCTAACCCCAAGATTATCTGTGGCGCAGTGTAATTACTTACGATAGCGCATAGTTCAGGAGAATTTTCCGAGTATATGAATCCTTTTCTTACTATATTTTCAATTCACTCCACTATTTTGTATAGTCCGCATATTACAGTACCTCTTCATATTCGGTATTTCACTGCTGATGTCCCAATGAATTTTGCATTTTGAGTTCTCATTGGATGGATTATTTCCATATCTAATCAAAATTGAAAATTTGGGTTTGCAACCATATAACAGCATGTATACTAAATATGCAAACTTTCTCGATTTTTTCGGTTGTTTTCAATAAGAATTTTCCATTCCAAAAGGAATTCTGAAACAATTCTATACCAAATTCCATATCAAAATAGAACAGTTGATTTTTTCAGTTCCGCGATTTTCCTAAAAAATTTTCTTTCATGATAACGTTTCCACTGTAATTACAAATAACCAAAAGAAAATTTGAGTCAAATCGACCCAGCAGTTCTCAACTGATGTGTTACTATATTTTTTTTTAAATTGTATACATTTAAATTTAAAGAAGTAGGTGTGGCCAGTTCCTCTAACACCAAACAGATACCTGGGGTTGGAAGGAGAATCAAGATTACGTCGTATACTAACTGTGGAAAAGATATGTTCATGATTTTGGCAAATATTAGGATTGTTGATAAATCGAAAAAATGGGCGCAAAATTGGGCGTGGTCACTTTTTCTTTGCATAAAAACCTAAATCGGGGTAGGACGAACATTTAAAAAAATATCCAAATATTTTCAGCTGGTCTCAACTGATTCAAATACCAACGAACAACAATTGGTTTATATATAGATTAAAAAGTAGGCGTGGTCAGTTCTTCAGCCCCCAAATAAATACTTAGGATTGGAGGCAAAGTCAACAGTATGTCGCGTAATAATTTTAAAACCGATATCATCACTATTTGGCAAATATAAAGATTTTAGATAAATCGAAATAGTGGGCGTAAAAGTAGGCGTGACCAATATTTTTCTTCTTTAAAAACCAAACTAGGGGTATGAAAAAATAATGCAAATCGGTCCAGTCGTTCTCAACTGATTCCATTCCCAACGAACAACAATTGATTTGTATACCCTACAACACTATGTATTCGCCGCGAAAATTTACATGGAGTTAGAGTGTAGGAGTGGGCAGAAACCTACCAATTTGGACGGCCACCGGACAATAATTAGCGGGTAAAATAGACCCTGACTTTTATGTAAGAAAATAGGAAAATTTCCACTAAACCGCGAATATTTTCAACCCCATTCAAATCACTAATACATTAAAAGATCACTTTTGACCATTACAGTGATGCTAATAGCCAAGAAATCGGGTATATAGCAAAGTAGGTACAATATATATGTAAAAGAATTGATCTTAATTTTTCTGCTTATAAATCAAAAACCGCTGGGACGATTTTTACAGTTCCCATCAATTCGGAATGGTCTTTTGCCAGAAAAGCAAAAATATACCAATAAAAAAGTGAATACTTTTTGTTCCATTTTTTTCAATTCTTGTCATATTTTTTATCGCATGCTATTTTTTCAATTTGACTTACAATTTTGAATAGTAAATTTTCTAAATGTTAACACCCTTCAACACTACGTTTTGAGGGTATTATATGCATGTCGCAATTATCGTCCGATCCTCACGAAATTTGGCATGGAGGTAGGGTTAGGGTCAGAATTAAAGCCTATTGTTCTTAAAATGTACATTTAGAGGTGCAAATGGACTAAAAAAAATAATTTTTTCTAATTTTGTAGTCGCTCTATAAGCAACAATTGAAACTAATCGACACGGAATTTCGCATCGGAAGAGAGTTAAGGGCAGGAAAGAAGTCTAGCATTTTGGATGACCATTGGATTACATTTAGCTGTAAAATGGACCACAACTTTTGCCAAATTCTCCGGGCAAAAAAACTAAGGGTAACCTCTGGGCGGGGCTCTTTGACATTATCTCAAAAACGAAATCTTCCAAAATGGATTTGGATATAAGGGGACTTCGAACATTTAGAATATGTAACGAAAATTGGTGCAAAAATAAATTTGCCAAATTATGTTGAAATCGGTTCAGATTTGAATAGAGTTCCCATATATATTTTCGGTTGATCTCACATATATGTGATTCACTTAATTTCAAAATAAAAATAAGCACTTAATCCAAAAATGTGATCACATGTCCAGGACTCTTATTTGGAATTCTGAATTCGTTTATTGTGGATGTAGTTTTGTCCCCTTTAACTTACTTTGTCATTCAGTTTGCCCGTCAGCACGATAGAGGTCGTCATTTTTTGGTTTGTAATTTGCAGAATCTTTTCTATTATTCCTCACACCAACGTAGCCAGAACCATTTAAATAAAAATGTATAATTTTAAAGGGGGGCCCGGTCCCCTCCCTGACTAAACCATGATTCCTAGGAAGATTGATATTGATATATATTTCTTCTCGTTCAGATATAACTCTCATATAGTTTTACCACATGTCATTATTCGGCCAAATGAGTCCTTATTTAACATTTAAGGTTTTCAATATAGTGTTTTTTTCTGGAAACAATAGTAATACTGATTCACTACAGCACATAAAACCAAATATAACCAGCGTGTTAAACGGTATCTTGGAGGTTTCAAAATCATTTTCAAGTGTATAAATTCTTTTGTCACAGAATTCGCAATAAAAGTCCACTTTTTGATTTATAACCTCCACCTATTGGAAGAAACTTGTACAATTTTAAAATGTCCCGTTAAAAATTACGCTACATTAAACAATCGAAATTCCTGGTGTTACTGTTGTATGGGGCTTTATGGAAACGAGAACCTCTACAACCAATTATTTGCCAGAAAAGGTGGTGCCTATTACGACCTTCATATATCAAATTTGAGATAATTATTTTGAAGAATCTACAGGATTGTCCATATTCGACGGACCCATCTGGCAACGCCATAACTTTTGATAGAAATGTCACATCGCTTATTGACATACCGCGTTTGAAGCGTCAGTCCAAGCAGATTTTTATCATGAACCAATACACGCGCTCTGAAATAGTTTAAATTTACATTCAACAGAAGAAGTCAATTGTGAAAACTCAACGTGCTTTTAAAACATTAAAAAATGTGAGAAGTGCGCCTTCTAAGAACACCATTAAGCGTTTATACGAAAAATTTTCGACTGGTAAGGGTCTTTATAATCCGAAGAGGATTAGTCGACCAAGGCGATCGGCCGAGAATATCGCTGCCGTACGAGCCAGTGTTGAGAGGTCCCCAAGAACATCCCAAAACGTCGTTCTCAGCTGTTGGGCGTGGCTCGGTCCACTTTACAACGGATTATTCGCATTGATTTGCATTTGTTCACGTACAAAATTCAATTGACGCAAAGAATGTTGCCTGCGGACAAGCCTCGTCGATTGGAATGGGCCCAAAAAAACATGGCTCCGTCGAATATGGGCAACCCTGTAGCTAAAATTATTGAAATACCGAATATAGGGAGGAGCTATGCGAGGATGTGGACCTGTGTATGCAATTTTCTGGCATAAAAGGGAGCACCCATTACGATATCAAATTACCACATTTGTAAAAAATATGAAATTTGAATTGTTTCATTGTGAAAAATATAACACAAATCATCAAAATACCGAATATCTGGAGTTATAGTTATATGGGACCTATACGAAACGTCTATGTCCAATTATTTGCCATTTTTTTTTCTAAGTGTGCACGACTTCTGCCAATTTTGTGTATGTATTTATTGTTTTCGAAAAATGAAAACAAAATATTTTCAAAACCAATAATTGGAAGATACGTAGATTGCGGCTCGCCCAATCCAGCCATGCAATTGAGAGATTGAACAGTTTGGATCATATTTTTGAGCGGAAATCCAGCCATTTCATTCATCTTTCGCGCTATTTAATTCATTTCAAAAACAAGTAAGCAAAGGCTACCGTCGAGCGGGGCCGACCGTTGAATACCCTACAACACTATAATAAATGATACAGTTTATATAGGCGAGATACTCGAAAGAATTCCACAAGATATTGCGACAATAATAAAAGAAAACCATCAGGTTTCGTTCTATAATTTTCGAATAAAAGCAACTTAAACTAATTTGCTCATTTT